ATAGTAATGAAGCAGAGTACTCGTACTTCCCTATACAGGATTTTGTCATCCTTCCAGAAGATGCAGAACAATAGAATTATTGGATGCAGTCCGTTTCTGTAGGTTCCCAAGGAGGCAATAAGCTGTTTTTTGTGGCATTATATCTTTTCAGAAATACATTTATCTGGATTTCTTTTTGTCCAAAATGTGTTATATCTGCCAAGTTAGAGTTGTTTCCTTCATAGGAGTAATATGACGATCCCCTGAGATCTTAGATATAGTAAGAACATCTATAAAACAACGAGAAGAAGTAAAATACATTTCTAGTTCATCTTACTCTATATGCCTTATGAATGTATTAAAGGGCATCTTGATGGATAATTTGCTCATCATTTCCCTTATAGCACAAATGTCAACCAAGAGATACAAAGATGTGTACAACACACATGAAAAACTCTGTACATTTCAGCACTGAGGTCTACCAAAGATGACCACAAATGATGTATGATATACAATGGACCATGGACTTCACCAGGAATGTGTAGTAGATGCTGCTCTCCTCAACCAGGGAAGACATGTGAAAACTACAAAAAAGAAAAATCAGGAGGGCACAAAATGCCTACTGCATCATCAACGATTTATTGTTCACAATTGGATACTCACAGAAGTGGAAAGTAAAATCACCCAAAAAAATACAAGATGCCACAGCAAGGGGAATCACATTTATCCATGTACCCGAGCTAGACTGGCAAGCTGACGTGTTTCGAAGGCGTACACCTCAGAGTTATGCTAGCCAACATCTCCAACAGTCCAGCTGGATCGCATGGATACATGTGATTCCTCTTGCTGTGGCATCTTGTGGTTTTTATGCAATTTTACTTTCTACTTCTGTGAGTATCCATTTGGCATCTATGTTTTGTGAACAATACATTTTTGGTAATGCACTAGGCATTTGTGCCCTCCTGATAGTTCTTTTTGTAGTTTTCACACGAGAAAAAAAAAAGAAGTGAGACTTATTGAGATGCTCCCTTTCAAGGAGTAACAAAAGCACGCATATATACTGCTAAAAACATACACTATATTGCCAAAAGTATTGGGCCCGCCCTCCAAATCATTGGATTCAGGTGTTCCAATCCCCTCCATGGACACAGGTGTATACAGTCAGGCCCCGAGGCATGCAGATTGCTGCATGGGTCACTCTCAGGAGCTCAGTGACTCCAAGCGTGGTCCCATGATAGGTTGCCACCTGGGCAATAAGTTCATCCATGACATTTCCTGGCTACTAAATATTCCACGCTCAGCTGTTAGTGGGATTATAGCAAAGTGGAAGCAACTGGGAACAACAACAAATCAGCCACCAAGTGGTAGGCCACGCATGCTGAAGCGCACGGTGCGCAGAAGTCACCAACTGTCTGCAGAGTCAATAGCTAAAGACCTGCAAACTTGGTGTGGCCTTCAGATTAGTACAAAAGTGCATAGAAAGCTTCATGGAATGGGTTTCCATGGCTGAGCAGCTGCATTCAAGCCTTACATCGCCAAGTGCAATGCAAAGCGTCGGATGCCGTGGTATAAAGCACGCCGCCACTGGACTCTAGAGCATAGGAGATGTGTTCTCTTGAGCGGCCAATTACACTTCTCTGTCTGGCAATCCGATGGATGTTCCTAGTTCCAGTGAAGGGAACTCTTAAGGTGACATTTTGGTCAATTTCATGCTCCCAACTTTGTGGGAAGAGTTTGGGGATGGCCCCTTCCTGTTTCCAACATGACTGCACACCAGTGCACAAAGCAAGGTCCATAAAGACATGGAGGAGCCAGTTTGGGGTGGAGGAACTTGACTGGCCTTGTTGACTGCATCACATGGAAGTACGGCGGCAAAGCGGGCTCCCTGAATCATGTACTTAGTATGTGATCTGTGCTTCCGGGTAGGTGGTGCACGCTTGCACCCGCCACCGTGACTGTGCTGTGGCCATGGATGCCACGTGATCCGCTTGTGTCAGAGAGGCAGTTATTGACTTTGTGCATTCCGCTCAAAATTTTGGAATTTGAAGGAATTTGTTGAGGGATTTTAGGACCAGGATAGGACGAATACCCCCCTTGGGTTTTGGTACCATGAGCAGGTCGAAAACATCTTCAAAGACTCAGTAGGCAATATTTACACAATAAGTCAGTGTATTACATACTACAGCCAGTACGTGATTCAAGGAATTTACTTTATGTTGCTTGAACAAAACACACTATGGAAATGGGTGAGAGAGCACAGGAGATTAATTGCAGAGGGTTCCACCAAGCATAGTGTGCCTCAGAACTTCTCGCTTAAACGTAATAAGAATTTCAGGGAACTACAAGTTTTTGTTATAGTGGCCATGCCCAGCCACCTCACAGATAATCCCCTCACAACTCCTACGGCCTCCCTCCCCCTCCATCCTACGCTCCCTCACCCACATCTTTAATCTCTCCCTCTCTTCCGATGCATTCCCCTCCCCTCTGAAGCACGCGCACATCACTCCCATACTCAAAAAAGCCCTCCCTGACCCCAACGACCCGAACAACCTCAGACCCATCTCCCTGCTCCCATTCTCATCCAAACTCCTCGAGCGCCTAGTCTACACCCGCCTAAGCTCTCACCTCAACAACAACAACCTCCTCGAGCACCTACAGTCCGGCTTCCGTCCCCTACACTCCACCGAAACTGCCTTACTCAAACTCTCCAACGTCCTTCTAACCGCCAAAGCTAATGGCCACTATTCAGTGCTCCTACTCCTTGACCTCTCCACTGCCTTCGACACAGTCGACCACCCCCCCCCCTCCTCCTCAAAAAACTTCACTCCCTTGGCCTCAGAGATTCTGCTCTCTCCTGGCTCTCATCCTACATATCACAACACTCCTTCAGCATTACCTATAATGCTACCACCTCCCCCTCGCTCCCCCTCTCTGTTGGGGTCCCTCAAAGCTCCATCCTGGGGCCCCTTCTCTTCTCCATCTACACCTCCTCCCTTGGCCAATTCATACACTCTCACGGCTTAAACTACCACCTCTATGCCAACGACACACAAATCTACCTATCTACCCCTTGCCTCACCCCCTCTGTCTCCGCCCGAATCACAAACCTACTAAACGACATATCAGATTGGATGTCGCTCCACTTCCTTAAACTGAACCTCTCCAAAACCGAGCTCCTAGTCTTCCCCCCATCCCGCACACCACCCCCCATTGACTTCTCCATCACGTCCAACAATGCCACTATCAGGTCCGCCCCGCAGGCCAGAGTACTTGGTGTCATTCTGGACTCCAACCTATCCTTCCAGCCCCAAGTCCAATCACTAACTCATGCAGACTCCACCTCCGCAACATCACCAAAATCCGCACTTTCCTAACCCCAGAAACCACTAAACAGCTCATCCACTCCCCTCATCATATCACGACTCGATTACTGCAACTCCCTCCTCACTGGCCTGCCTTGCCACAGGCTATCCCCGCTTCAGTCCATCCTGAACACGGCAGCCAGACTCATTCACCTTACCAACCACTCCGTTTCTGCCACCCCCCCTCTGCCAATCCCTCCACTGGCTTCCGATTGCCCAACAGATCAAATTCAAAATCCTAACACTGACATACAAAGCCGTCCACCATACTGCCCCAAATTACATCACCGACCTAATATCCAAGTACCACCCAACACGCACTCTCCGCTCCTCACAAGACCTCCTTCTCTCTAGTTCCCTAGTCTCCTCCTCCCATGCCCGCCTCCAGGATTTCTCCAGGGCGTCGCCCATCCTCTGGAACTCCCTACCCCAATCCATCAGATTATAACCTACTCTCCTCTCATTTAGGCGCACCCTGAAAACCCACCTCTTCAGGGAAGCCTACCCCACCCCCTGCTAACTTGCCGACCTCCTCCACTCTTCCCTACCACTCCATCCCCCCCCACAGCTATCTCCTCCTGTACCACTATCCCCTCCCTCCTAGATTGTAAGCTCGAAAGAAACAAAGAAACGTACTGGATACACAAACGTCAAGGCGTGCGAAGGCTCCTCCTAGACGCGTTTCGTGTCAATACACGTCTACAGTAGGGGTGATGCCATGCATGCCTGACGTCTGTTTGCTCATTTATATGCTCAAAATTTGCGCCAAAAATGCGCTGGCGCCATCTCTCTAACAATCGGCGCAGCTGCGCATGCGCGGGCGCCATTTTTCTGGTGATTTGGAGTCTCAAAAATGGCCGCTGCGTGTCAAACTGTGCATGCACGAATGTGGCCTGGTATTGCCAAAGAATCAATTCTCCCCTGACATTATCTCTGCTCTTATCAGACTAGACATAAAGCCAGAGTTTTTCCCCTTCCCTGTGAATATCCACAGGAAAAAGTCGGCCGCCCGGTCCGCGCATGCGCACTTTAGTGCGGCTACGCGTGAGTATCCAACGATAAAATGGCGGCCGACCATTCGCGCATGCACAGTTTGACACGCGGCGGCCATTTTTAAGACGCGTCTAGGAGGAGCCTTCGCACGCCTTTACGTCAGGGCCGCTGGATCAGGAGGTCCGGCGGCCAACCCTTGAATTTCACTGGTCAGTGTTTTTGGATGGTTTTTCACAGCCGCTTTAACTGGCTACAGGCTGCAGGCATGTTTTGTGATCTTTATTTTATACATTGGATTTAATAAATATTTTAAAATTACTACACTATGAGCATTTTTACTTCTCATACCTGGCACTGAGCCCCCATACCTCAGCCCCAGCACTTTAGGCTTCTGTGTGGATCCAAGGAGCAGTGTGATCCGACCAGACCAGCATCTCCTTACCACTGAAGGACTACCAGGGTACTACCAAGCAGCGCTTATATGAGACCTCAGCTACATGTGACCTGCATATGCGCATTGAGATTGCGCTTCTGGTAAGTGGGCAATCTACCTACTCCTCGATATTGATTGGATTACACCAGCGTGGTTGGAAGTTTTTCTATAACTGAACTGATTACCACATCTGACACTATTGCATTGGACAATTATTTCTTTGCTAGTCATTGGACAATTTCTTCTTTTTTACCAGTTATTTTAATCTAATCGCTATAAGGATATTGTTTGTAGCGCTGCACTTTTATTTTGTCAATTCGAGTTGGAAAGACTCTGTAGTTCTTTCTTAGTGCATTTTGCCGCTTACTGGAGTGCGCTCACTAACCTACCTACATACATGGATACACAAACTGAACACTTACATCCCGGATGGACTTAACCTCCCTAGCGGTCTGATTATGTCCATATTTCTGTGCTCAAAGTGGTACATTTTTTTGCATGGAAATATGTATTTTTTTATTGTAGGCCTGTCATTTTTAGGAATAACTCATTGAAATCTGTCCGAACAAGAGTCTGGTAAACATCTCGGGTATGTTAAAATTTAAAACACAAAATCATAAATTATTAATTTTAATAAATAATCATAAAAAATAATAATATAATAATAATAAATTTAATTCAATAATCTAATCAAACCAAAAACACTGAAATAAGAAATATAGCGCCAAGTTCGCACATCGCTGAGCTTAGTCGCAGAATCGTTTTCAGTGTCTGATGAGGAATTTCCCCCACGAATCATTATCACTCAATTCTGCAAGTGGTTCTAATTTACTATCACTGTTCTCTAGCCGGTCTAAAATCGCTTTTGACCTAAAGGGACATCGCGGGAGCGCAGGACAAGGTAAGTGAAGAACAGATCCCGGAGCAGCGCCGCATGGTAAGCCCGAGTGTAGCTCGGGGAGTTACCGCTTGTGGTACTGATACTTTACCCCGAGCTACACTCGGGAATACCGCCAGGGAGTTAATGAGGATATTGACATATACACAGTAGATTAGGCAGAAAGGTGTTTGTAGGTGTGGCCTTGTGGCTGTGTGTTGGTTTGTACTTTACTGATCTCTGTTTGTAATAATCAATTACAGTTTTACACAATGCATCTTACATGACTTTGACAGGCTACTCAGGGGTAATGGTTTTAGGGGAGTGCAGGAAGGTTCCATCTGTGCTCCCCTTATATTTGCATACACACGGCGGGACCGGACGTGTGGCGGCAAGCTCCTGCGCCCCTGGCCCCAATCCGCTGCCATCTGGGCGGCAGCGGACCCTGGCGGGGCCCCCATGATTCTCCGATCCCTGCTCGTCGGCCAGGGAAGGCCACTAGACCTTTTTCCCGGAGCTCCGGGACTTGCGGCCTACCAGGCACCCCGAAGCCGCGGCCTCGATTTTTGCCATGGCCGACCCGGATCGCTGGCATCGGCCTGGGCCGCACTGCTCTGTCCCCTGGTCCCTGCCGACCTGCCAGCCTCCACAGTGCCCTCCCCCCACCGGCCGGGGTCCATCCCTGACCACCAGGAACCAGCTCAGGCCCACTGCTGATCCCTGCTCCACCACCCAGCCCACTGGCCTGCCTCTCTCCCTAGAGCCCTCCCCATCAGCTCTGGGTCCACCTCAGGCCACCCTACACCCAGCTACCGGCACCCAGCTACCACCTCTGGCCACCCTACACCCAGCTACCGGGC